TGTTGGTCCATATGTGGTCTAATAAGGAAACATTATTCCCTGTAATTCTTGTAGGTTTTGTTATGGTTGGTAGCAACAAGCAGTTACTCATAGTGTTTGTGAATTCAGCTACATGTGGGCCCTGGTCTTGCAGGAGATTTATATTGAAGTCTCCTGTGAGCAGTAAGTGGTTTTTGTTCATGTGTGCATCAGTTATCATACTTCCTAGGTTTTCACTAAAACTGCTAATATTTGACTGTGATACTCTGTAGATGTTTATCACTGTGAGAGGTTTTCGTAGGTACTTGGATTTGAATTTAGCTATTACATATTCCCCATGTTCGTCCCTTGTGCAAGTATTATTGATATATTCTAGTTGGTCTGAGTAGTATATAGCTGTGCCACACCCTTGTTGGTCTGGCCTACAGTTGTGTATGGCTGTGTAACCAGGTATGGCATAGACATCTGCAGTATCTGGCTTTAGCCAGGTTTCTGTGAGAGTAATGATGGACATACTGGCATGCAGGGAATTTAGTAATGCTGTGAGGTCATCGTAATGTTTGCTTAAAGATCTGACATTGTTGTTGGCTCTGAGAAGAGCCTTTGTTTGTTCTGCTGTGTAGTAATTACAGTTGCTGTTTGATTCATTTAAGTCATTCAGTAAGAGGTTGGTATCAGGATCAATGCTTGTTATCATAAGATTGAGAATGAATCTATAAACAGACTTAAGTATAAGACAATGTAAATATTCTAAGGCTAAAAAATAGCACCTTAATTATTTTAACAAATGTAAATATATGAACTAAGGTAGTTCGTTAAAGCTAAAATAAAGGAGACAATAAAAAAGGGACTGAAACAAGTAGTGTTAAACCAAGTTAAATGGACAGATAGTAACTATGATATAATATTAATTTAGGAGTAAGATCTGACTTGTAATACAAAGTTTGAGCAATTAATAGCACTAAAAAAAAGTAAAAAATATATGAGGTAGTTGGTACTAGCTAGTAAAAGATAGTACAGGGAATTTCACAATAATGTAATAGGAATATACACTAACTGCACCACACAATATAAAAGGGACTAAAATAAATAGTGGTAGACAAAATTAAATGGACAGATAGCAACCACAAATAACATTAACTTAGGAGTAAGATTTGACTTGCAACACAAAATTTGAGCAATTAATAGCATTAAAACAAATATAAAGTATTTGAGGTAGTTGGTACTAGCTAGTAAAAGATAGCACAAGGAATTGCACAATGAAGTAATAGGAACATACACTATGTGCACCACATGTATATATGTGTTAAGGACACTTATCTAATCTGTTACGGAAATGTCAGCTTTTCTAAGAAAAGTAGAGAAATCATGTTCATTTGAGATGGTGTATTGTTTTCCTGTTGATGCTTTTCTAACTAGTATTTTCCCATCTCGCGTGAAACACTGATGTATTTTGTTTTCCTGTTAAAGTTTTCTCAACCTGAACAGAAGGTTTTGACGTTTTTTCTCGTTAGACAAGTTTGCCTGTGATACTCCAATATAGAAACTATGTATTGTGCCAAAACAAAAGCATTCACATTGCTAAACTCACAAACTAGTATTTAGTCACTTAGTATTTAGTCAACTTACTCCATAGTTTGTAATAATTTAACGTTAAGAATTAATCTAAGTTTGCCCGAAATGCCTAGCCATGCTAGGTGCTCTAGTGGCCTCCTCTGTAATTAGTATTTTATTACATGTAAACCACACAATAACCAAAATATGTAAACCCCGCAATGTAATCCTTATAGAGAATAAACTTTGATTGATTGATTGATGTACACTCCATCTTTCATTGTAATTGCTGCTTTAATTAGGTCCTTTTTTCTATCATATGAATGAAGTCTGATCATAATACTGTGTATACTACCTTGTTTTCCTAGCAACGATAAAGCACCTAAATTACTGGGAGCAGTTGAAGTCCCTTCATTTTTACTCCTTGGAACGCAGGCGAGAAAGATACATGATAATATACACTCGGAAAATCCTAGAGGGACTAGCCCCAAATCTGCCCACGATCATCACTCCCTACGATAGCAAAAGACTCGCCAGGAGATGCAGCATATCCCCAATGAAGAGCACGGGCGCCACGAGTACACTAAGAGACAACACAGTAAATGTCAGGGGCCCAAGATTGTTCAACTGCATCTCAGCATACAATAAACGTCTGGCTGTCTTCAAGAAGGTGATGGACAGGAAATAAAGTTACTACTTAACCAGCCGAGTTGTGGTTTGTAAGTCGGTTTACGTGCGGCCAGCACGTAATCAGGACCTGATTCACTGAGAGGCCTGGTCAGTGGTCATGGACCGGGCCGCGGGGCATTTGACCCCCGAAACCTCCTCCAGGTATACTTCATGTATTACCGATTTTATACATTTTACCGATTTTATAAATTTTCTTAGTATTGAGACTGATTACCAGCTTCATCACTCGCAGGATATACACACCGCGAGGAGTTTAATTCCTATTTTACAGATTAAATATTCTTGTGTGGTGGTGTGAAGGTTGCGAGCAGCCTTAATTAACACTCATTTAGACGATGGGCTTTAAACTTCATTAACCAACCAACCCAACCAACAAGTTCATGACAGCTTACTTATAATTTAAAATACTTATTATTTAAAATATTCATATTTTATTGCGGCTATTAAATTAAATAATATTTTCCTCAAAAATTTTTTTGGCTATAAATTCATAGGATATTAAAAAAATATTTATTTGAAAGTTGTGCATTCTGATAATGATCGGTGACTTGTATTTAGGTGGTCTCAAGTTGTGACTGAAAGTGAAACCTACACAAATTAGGTATAATCCTGTGTTCATCTGATCCTATTTTTCACTCCCGCTTCAAGCACTTCAGTATTGCTTCTTGAAATATATTTTGTTCCCTCTTCAAATGCATTGATGAAACAAATGTTGTAACCTCATTCAAACTCAGACATAATAACAATAATAATAATAATATCTTTATTTCTACAAGTACATGTGCAAGGTATACAATCCTAGCTGACATCAGTGACATACTGCTATATAGAAAACCGCTTGTTATGCAGATAATTTCGGGCAAATTAGGTTAGTTTTGTCCCGGGAAGCGACCCACACCAGTCGACTAATACCCAGGTACTCATTTTTTACTGATGGGTGAACATAGACAACCGGTGTAAGGAAACACGCCCAATGTTTCAACCCTCGCCGCCAATTACAGTTGGTGTCCCACAGGGAAGTGTCCTAGGCCCTCTTCTCTTTCTCATATACATAAATGATCTACCAAATGCGTCGCAACTACTCAAACCCACACTATTTGCAGATGACACTACATACGTCTACTCTCACCCGAGTCCAGTCACGCTAGCCAATACTGTGAATACCGAATTACAGAAAATATCTACCTGGATGAGTACTAACAAACTTACTCTAAACATTGACAAAACCTACTTCATTCAGTTTGGGAACAGAACTACAAATGCTCCATTAACATAATGATAAACGGATCACCTGTCACAAACCTCACAGAGGGAAAATTCTTAGGAATCCACCTTGATAATAGACTCAAATTTCAAACACATATACAACAAATTTCCAAAAAAATTTCCAAGACCGTAGGCATACTATCGAAGATACGGTACTATGTTCCACAGTCAGCCCTCCTGGCCCTATATCACTCACTTATTTACCCCTATCTCACCTATGGAATTTGTGCATGGGGCTCAACAACAATAAACCATCTCAGACCATTAATTACCCAACAAAAGGCTGTAGTCAGAATGATAACAAATTCCCACTACAGGCAGCACACTCCACCAATATTCAAAACTCTAAACCTACTCACCATACAAAACATCCATACTTATTACTGCACCTACTACAGTCATAGAACACTTAACTCTGATATTAACCCTCCCCTTAAACGTCTCCTTACCAACCTCAACAGAACACATGACCATAACACAAGGCACAGATCACTCTTTGATGTTGCTCGAGTCCATCTCACGCTATGCAAAAACTCAATGCACATAAAAGGCCCTAAAATCTGGAATTCATTACCTGTGAATATAAAAGAAACACTGTCTGTTTATAAATTCAAGTCTCTTCTCAAAAATCACTTACTCACCCACAACTAAATAAATACTGAATAATTGTATCTCATAAATTGTATCTCGTAAATGTTTCTCAATATTGTATCTCATAAATGTCTAACCTGTGACCCAATCAAACTTTATTTTTTAATTACATTACCTAACAGAATACTCCATTCTACTGAATGCACAGGAACACACTAAATGACCATATGACCTGTCTTTTTAATACTCATTTGTGCTAATTTTTATGTTTACAATAATGTTTTTACTACTGAATATATCATTGCTTAGTTAATCTTAAGTTAATTTTAAGCCTGCCCATAATGCTCTGCATACAAGGGGCTTTGGTATGTTGCACTGTAATAACTGTATTCCTTTATACTTCACTGTATCATGTTCAAATTAATAAATAAATAAATAAATAAATAAATCGAACCTGGACACTCCCCGTGTGAAGCGAGACCTTTGCCACCAGGTCACTGGCCATATAACTAATTTACAATAATTTTATGTTAATATAATCTAAAATTACACCAGGCAAGCGATAAAATCATAAAATAAAATGCTCTCATAAACGCAACATATTGTGAAAGTCGTGGGATTGTCTAATGTGGCAGGGCTTTATTTATCACTACGTCAGCAACCCTCTAAAAGGAATCACATGTTTATCTGAACAGTTGATTGTGGTAGGCCACTGCTGTTGCCCACATATAACTGTTACACATGACACCGGTACTATTAGTGCTGACAGTAAAGTTAGGATACATCTCCTGTTGTTAGTTCTGACCTAAAGATCTCACACCCGTGTACCTAACAAACTGAAACTAGTCGTCAAGGGGATCTTACTCTTCCCTGCGACACGTCATATAATAGTAAACCAGTGTTTTAAGGTTAGGTAAACCTGCAAGATAAAGCCATGTATCAGCTGTTATCTGTACGTTATCGATGCCACCCACCGACTTGCCGCCATCAGTACGACTCTCACTTCCAGCTTATAGTTGTGTCCTCACCCTCCAGTGTTGTCTCTGCTTGCCACCTTACATTAACGTCTCGTGAGTACTCGACTTATTAATATAAAATGTATATAAAAATGTTTTAACGTATAATGAAGTTATACATTATTAAAACTGTAATACAGATCCTGTGAGCCGCAGCTCATAAAAAAATTACTGAATAATAGGCTACGAATTTCATCATTTTAATAATAAAATAGATTATAATTATTATATGTTTGTGTATATAGCATGTCTTTTATGTATAATGGGTTTTCTGGTTACAGTTATAATATAATTGTTTACCGTGACATTCCTTTTGTGTTGCCTTTTGATGTCAAAACATTTATATACTGAAGGAGTAAACAACGAGTACTGGCATTTTGTCAGGAGAAGAGGAAAAAAAAAAAATCCTGGCTCAGGTCTTGGTCATGTGATGACCCACTCGGTAAACTTTTCAGTCATTTGACTGAGGCCCTCCACTAGTTTATCAACACTTCCCACCCTCTCCAGGGAAAAATAGATATGTTTCAGTTGCTACGATATCCGAGAAAACTGTCCTCCATGAGACAGACTTACTTGGACTTCGAGAGTAGAAAAGTTTTGAGGCCTTGGTAGCAGTACCTCAAGCCTCTAAGATAGCGTAGGAACTGCAGCACCGCCCACAGGATGGGTATGGGGTGCATAATAAACATATTAAACTAAAACTGCAGCTCAGCTCTCAGGTCTTTCAAGATGGGTCCGAGAATTTAGCAAAAAGGGTTGTTTAAGATATATACTCAATGTTTCGTTCATCAGGAACTTTGTCAAGCCAGCACAAACAATACAGTGCCTGGACACAGGATATGCAAAGAGTACTAAAGGCGAGGCATTCTTGACGGTAGTGGTAGTAGTTGCAGTAGTAGTAGTGGATGAGCAGATAATAGTAGTAATCTTGGCGTACGATCATTTCAAGTGATAGAGCTGATGAAATGTAGATTTAGGGATCTCCTTTTCTGCTGCTAGACAATCTATAAGAAAACTGTCAATTGGAAAGGCTCTGAGCGCTGAGGAAAGTGTCAGAGTGACGTATGTTTGAAATGACCATTAAGTTACAGTCTCAGACAAAATGTTTAATTATTGGTAAGACTACCAACAATATGATAAATTAGACACATGTGCAACACTTGGGTATCTTTTATGAGGAAACGTTTCGCCACACAGTGGCTTCATCAGTCTATACAAAGGAGAATGGTGAAGAACAGGAGAAGTTTGAAGTAATCAGTCCCTTACCTGGAGTTTACCTGGAGAGAGTTCCGGGGGTCAACGCCCCCGCGGCCCGGTCTGTGACCAGGCCTCATGGTGGATCAGGGCCTGATCACCCAGGCTGTTACTGCTGGCTGCACGCAGTTCAACGTACGAACCACAGCCCAGCTGGTCAGGTACCGACTTTAGGTGCTTGTCCAGTGCCTGCTTGAAGACAGCCAGGGGTCTATTGGTAATCCCCCTTATGTATGCTGGGAGGCAGTTGAACAGTCTTGGGCCTCTGCCACTTATTGTGTTGTCTCTTAACGTGCTAATGACACCTCTGCTTTTCATTGGGGGGATGTTGCATCGCCTGCCGAGTCTTTTGCTTTCGTAAGGAGTGATTTTCGTGTGTAAGTTTGGTACTAGCCTTGAGTCGATGTAATCAGTTCATCAATCTTGAAAAGAATACAGCATAAGTGCGAAGAAGTGGCAGATATTCTCTTGGTAAGTGAGGTGCAGCAGTCGTAGGTGGTATCTCATTTGTCAAATGTGGAAATGGGTCATGCCTAAAGGTTAGGCAAGTGAAGAATTCCCTGTATTAAGATCCCAAGATGTTGCTGTGTCAGACAGGAATGTAGATGACTGGTTCAGAAAACCAACAAGTTGATAAATTAGACACATGTGCACATGTGTCTAATTTATCAACTTGTCTGTTCTCTGAACCAGTCATCTACATGCCAACAATATGTTAGTCATGCATTACATTACGCGGACAGTTTTCTCTGCGCTCACAGCCTTCGCAAAGGACAATTTCTTGCTAGCACTTAGAGCTATAGCAGGTTTTCATCCCAAGTATGGAGCTAATGTTAAAATTGTGAAAATGGTGTATTTTGCTTACATTAGATCACTGGTTGATTATGCTGCACTACTACTTGTTCTTATGTCGTACTGGAAGCTTGGAGAGCTGGAAATTTTTTAGAACGAAGCATTGAGGATCATTCTAAGATGCTGTCGTACCGCCAAAATTCTAAACATGCGGAAAGAGCTTAATACCCCAAGCATCAGAGATCGTGTCAGTGAAAGAAATGGCCTCATTGGGGGTCAAAATGCTCAGGGAAGGCAATTCAAACTCTTGCACAGAAGCCCTCCAAACTTTCTTCAGTGCTGGTGAGAACTCTTTCAAATGGACCATAAAAACTGGAACTGATATCTGAATGAATCAGATACATGATTTATGTCAAGGAAGGCAACAACACTTCCTCACTCCATGGGAAATTACCTCATTTCAAACAACTATCCCTCATTTCCCTTCAAAAACAATAAAATAAAACTTGTTAAATCATAACCAAAGCAAAATGCCTTAAGCAGTAAATATGCCTTAGTCACATAGCACTCTTCCACAAATTATGTATGTTGATGGCTCTGTTCACCAATCCACTGGTGCAGCTAGCAGTGCCGCGATTGTCATACAGAGTGATGGCTTGAATGCAGAAATTGAAGCACACATCAGTAACTAGGGTTCTACCCTTCAAATTGAACTACATGCCATACTTCCTGAGTATCAGTTGTGGCATCTTGTATCAGAAGCCAGACACAGGTATGGTAGTATTTTAGACAGTGGAATCTGTCTACACTTGTTGATTCCATCTCACATTGGTCTTCAGCTGCATGATAGAACTGACGAATTGGCAAAGTCCTTCAAGGAGGGAATAGATTACAATCATTGGGCTGTCAGTTAGTAGTTTGAGAACATTTATATGAAAAAAACTTGAACTGAACTTCATTGACTTGTGACTGAGGGAGACAGACAACAGTCAGTCCACGTGTCATGCAAGAGGAGTCACATGTCTGTGGTGCATCCAACATAATAAGAGGGCTCTTGAATGACTGGCCCACAAGTATCTCTGGAAGGTTGCATCACCGGTTCCACCTGATGGAGACATAACTAAATGTAAACTTTGCCAGATGGACTAGTGTCACGCCTTGCAACATTATGTACTGGGATGCGATAAAATTAATGAATTCAGAAACAACTCAATCAAAAATGTTCAAGAAATTTCGAAGTATTTTATCCACAGTAACATTACTAACCATCAGGAAAAATACCCTGACTTTGTCTATTGTAAATAATGCATAACAACTTAAACTTGCTTAAATTCAAGCATACCTTGCTAAAATATAAGGTGATATCAATAATTTAGAACCATATAAAAGCTACACTAATATTTTTGTGACACTTCATGTCTGCATAAATAACACTTGACGACTGTAACCAGATAAAACATGATATAAACACTAACTCTCTTTAGCTGTCAAAAATTGCAGTCCAGTGTCAGGACCCATTATATACCCCTCTGGGGTATATAATCAAGATATTAAACTAACCACTATCAGAAAAGAAGATCCTTAAATCTACTTATAAACGCACTTCTCCATCTCCCATTATATGACGTTATCGCACACCGAGATTACTGTGTACTATTACTACTACTATCTGCTCACCCACTACTACTACTACTACTACTTTAATACTTCTGCTACTACTACTGTTTTCAAGGCAGCCCTGCCTACTGGACTCTATATACCCCTTTACCCATGCGTTGTATTGCCACAGCACAAGATCACAAAAAAAAAAAAGCAACAACAGGTCTAATGCCTATCGACAAGTGCCTCTGACAAATGGTAACTCATTGCTTAGTTAATCTTAAGTTAATTTTAATCCTGCCCATAATGCTCTGCATACAAGGGGCTCTTGGCATGTACACCCAACCACTATATTTCTTTGTACAACTATGTATCATGTCCCAATAAAAAAACTAAAAAAAAAACTAACTGTACAGGACAGGAGTGGTGGTCAGACCAGGTCACTCCAGTGCTGGTCTCAGGCCCGGTGCCAGTTTACCCTGAGAATGGAAGAATTTGTTGATTTTCAAACCAACAAATCACCTGTGTCCATTTGTGAAATTTTCTTTGAGCATCCACTTGCATAAGCTTGTATTACAATTAATTTCCAGAGTGTAACATTTACTCGTATTTACTGTGTTTACAAAATTGCCATATCGTACCAATAGTTTTAGCAGTTAACATTGTGCTGTATATGGTCTCAGTGACTAGCTGCCACAACCTGTGACATTCCTATCTTCTAACACACCACCGTAGCTTTCTTGTACCCCTCAGAACTATATAGTCATTGAACCCAAGATAAGTCGTAATGAATTACTGTCAATGAATAAACTGAAAAAATGAATGGGGAAATGATGAGAGTTACAGGATGCGTCAGGTCCTGTGATGTACCATTCATGCAAGTCTTAAACAGCTGTCACGTCTGCTCCCCAGGTAGGATATCGACTCTACTGCTACCTGTATGACACTTGTATAATATAGATTAGTTTATATTAGTGCATAAGCAAAGTCTCTCTTCTTAAGAAATGAGTTATACTTTTAATTTAAGTAAGAATTCAGTTTGCAGGTGGGTGTCCAGAGACTCTGGTGAGTAATGTAGCAGCCTCAAGCACCCTCACTACCTCTAACACTGGCTGTCCACTGACCTCTGGGGGTCAAGTGTGATCTCATAGGATCATATGTAAGACCTTGGATCAAATAAAGAATCAGGAGTCAAACTATCAATAGTATTGTCTACGTTCCTGCCCAAACACGACAGCATCATGATTGACATGAACAACCTGAGACAACCTTCAGTCTCTCTGAAGATTGTCGAGATTGTGAGTACCTTCACCATAGGTATTTGTCTCTGATTTATTGATTAATATTTTAATGACAACAATACATATTAACAATAAAAATAATTATTATATTAATTTTAGTATTATTTATTAGTTGTAGTATTTTATTATATTATGTTTTTATTATATTATTTATTATTATATTTTTATTAATATTATTATAACGACCTAGTTGCAATTATAATTCTTTATTGCATCAGTAGCAGAGCAATATTATCCGTGGCGCCCCATCTTCAGACTTCACTGTAACATATAATTTAAAAATACCCAGCGATTGTATCACTCTTCCACCTATATGTAACCCTTATTTTTAAAGGGATGGACCGGTAAGCCAGCGGAAGGCCTCTGTCAAGTGACCCACGCTCCAGCGGCGGATCATCATATGACTTAGACCCGCGTCAGGAAACATTTCTTCTGTTTCCTGACGAATCTTAACTAACCTATTACTCTTCCGTCACTGATTTAGTTGTCACCCCTATAAAAACTTTTCCAGTATTTAACACATCACAATAATCCCCCAGTTCCAATTATGAGGCTGACAATGACTACTACCTGGCCAGGTGCTGCTGGTGATCGCCATCTCTACGTTCTTCAGCTTTTTTTATGGGTGGGCATTCTTCGCCAGTAGCGTGATGCTAGCTTGCTTCATCAACGCTTTCGCCTTCCTGGGCATCTACCTGATGGGTTACACCCAGGTTATGCAGACACCGCTGGTAGGTCTCTATAATTGTGATGGAGGTTCTGGTGGGGCGGTGGTTCTGCTGTGGTGGGGGTTCTAGTGTGATGGTGGTTCTTGTGTGGTGGTGGTTCTGGTGTGGTGGTGGTTCTGGTGTGGTGGTGTTTCTGGTGGGATGGTGATTCTCGTGTGGTGGTGGTTCTAGTGTGGTGGTGGTTCTGGTGGGGTTGTAGTTCTAGTGTGGTGGTGCTTCTGGTGTGGGGGTGGTTTACTAGTGTGGTGGTGGTTCAGAGGGTGGTGGTGGTTCTGTTTGCGGTGGTTCTAGTGCGGTGGTGGTTCTAGTGTGATGGTGGTTCTGGTGTGGGGTGGTTCTAGTGTGGTGGGTTTAGTGTGGTGGTGTTTTCTGGTGTGGTGGTAGTTTAGTGTGGTGGTGGTTCTGGTTTGATAGTGGTTCTAGTGTGGTGGTGGTTCTGGTGTGGGGGGTTGGTTATGGTGTGGTGGGGGTTTTCTGGTGTGGTGGTAGTTCTAGTTTTAGTGGTGGTTCTAATGTGGTGGTGGTTCTGGTGGGGGTAGTGGTTCTAGTGTGGTGGTTCAGATGTGGTTTTTGGTTCTAGTTTGGTGGTGGTTTGGTGTGATGGTGGTTTAGTGTGGTGGTGGTTCTGGTGTGGTGGTGGTTCTGGTGTAGGGGTTCTAGTGTAGTGGTGGTTTGGTGTGGTGTAGTTTCTAGGTGGTGGTGGTGGTTCGGGTGTGGGGGTTTGTTCTAGTGTGGTGGTGGTTCTGGTGTGGTGGTGGTTCTGGCGTGGTGATTCTGTGTGGTGGTGGTTCTAGTGTGGTGGTGGTTCTGTTGTGGTTGTGGTTCTGGTGTGGGCTGTGGTTCTGGTGTGGTGGTGGGGTTCTGGTGTGGTGGTGATGGTTTGATGTGGTGGGGGGTTTAGTTTGGTGCTGATTCTGGTGTGACTACGTTTCTGGTACGGTGGTGATACTGGTGTGGTGGTGGTTTGGTGTGGTTGTAGTTCTAATGTGGTGGTGGTTCTAGTGTGGTGGTGGTTATGGTGTGGTTTTTGTTCTAATGTGGTGGTGGTTCTGGTGGGGGTTTGGTGGTTCTGGTGTGGTGGTGGAGGTTCTGGTGTGGTTGTGGTTCGGGTGTGGTGGTGGTGGTTTTGATGTGGTGGTGGTTCTAGTTTGGTGGTGGTTCGGGTGTGATTGTGGTTCTGGTGTGATTGTGGTTCTGGTGTGGTGATGATTCTGGTGTGGTGGTGGTTCTAGTGTGGTGGTGGTTCTGGTTGGTTGCAGTTCTAGTGTGGTGGTGTTTGGGTTTTGTGGTGGTGGTTTTTGGTGGTGTTGTGTGGTTGCAGTTCTAGTGTGGTGGTGGTTCTGGTGTGGTGGGTGGTTCTTGTGTGTGGTGGTTCTGGTGTAGTGGTGGTTCTGTGTTTGGTGGATTCTGGTGTGGTTATTGCTGTTTGGTATGTGTAGGTGATTCTGGTTGTAGCGGTGGGTTCTAGTGTGGTGGTGGTACTATGGTGTGGTTTGTGGTTTAGTGTGGTGGTGGTTCTGGTCGTGTGGTGGCTCTGATGTGGTTGTGGTGGTTCTGGTGTGGTGGTGGTTCTGGTGTGGTGGTGGTTTGTGTGTGTGATTGGTAGCGGTGGTTCTAGTTTGGTGGTTGAGTTTCTGTGTGTGGTTCTGTGGGTTGTTATGTGTGTGTGTCGGTGTGATTCTAGTGTGGTGGTGGTTCTAGTATGGTGGTGGTTCTGGTGGGGTTGTGTTCTAGTGTGTAGTGTGGTGTGTCTTTGGTGTGGGGGTGTGGTACTAGTGTGGGTGGTGGTTCAGATGTTGGTTGGGTGGTCTTAGTTTCGGCGGTGGTTCTAGTGTGGTGGTGGTTCTAGTGTGTGGTGGTTCTGGTGTGGTGGTGGTTCTAGTGTGGTGAGTTTAGTGTGGTGGTGATTTATGGTGTGGTGGTTAGTTTGTTGTGGTGGTGGTTCTGGTTTGATAGTGGTTCTAGGTGGTGGTGGTTCTGTGTGTGGTGGTTAGTTTGGTGTTTGGTGGTGGTTCTGGTGTGGTGTAGTGTTGGTGTTTGGTGTGGTGGTTCTAATGTGGTGGTGGTTCTGGTGTGGTAGTGGTTCTAGTGTTGGTGGTGGTTCAGATGTGGTTGTGGTTCTAGTTTGGTGGTGGATTCTGGTGTGTGTGTGGTTCTAGTGTGGTGGTGGTTTGGTGTGGTGGTGGTTCTGGTGTTGTTGGTTCTAGTGTGTGGTGGTTCTGGTGTGGTGTGTTCTGTGTGGTGTGGTGGTTCTGGTGTGGTGGTTTGTTTATTTTGTGGTGGTGGTTCTGGTGTGGTGGTGGTTCTTGGTGTGGTTGTTCTAGTGTGATGGTGGTTCTAGTGTGGTGGTGGTTTCTGTTGTGGTTGTGGTTCTGGTGTGTGGTGTGGTTTGGTGGGTGGTGGAGGTTCTGGTGTGGTGGTGATGGTTCTGATGGTGTGTTGGTGGTTTGTTTGTGTGTGTGTCTGGTTTTGGTGTGATTAGTTTTGGTTGGTGGTGGGATTACTGGTGTGGTGGTGGATCTGGTGATGGTTGTAGTTTATGTGGTGGTGGTTATAGTGTGGTGGTGGTTATGTGTGGTTGTAGTTCTAATGTGGTGTGTGGTTCTGGTGTGGTGGTGGGGTTTGTGGTGTGTTGTTGTGGTGGTTCTGGTGTGGTTGGTGGAGGTTCTGTGTGGTTGTGGTTTTGGTGTGGTGGTGGTGTTTATGTGGTGGTGATTGTGGTGGTGGTATTCTAGTTTGGTGGTGGTTCTGGTGTTGATGTGGTTCTGGTGTGGTGTGGATTCTGGTGTGGTGGTGGTTTATGTGTGGTGGTGGTTCTGGTGTGGTTGAGTTCTAGTGTTGGTGGTTGCTATTGGTGTGGTGGGTGGTACTAGTGTGGTGGTGGTTCAGATGTGGTGGTTGGTTCTAGTTTGGCGGTGGTTCTAGTGTGGTCATGGTTTTAGTGTTGGTGGTGGTTCTAGTGTGGTGGTGGTTCTAGTGTGGTAGGTTTAGTGTGGTGGTGGTTTGGTGTGTTGGTAGTTCTAGTGTGGTGGTTGATTCTGGTGTGATGGTGTGTTTCTGGTGTGATGGTTGTTCTGTGTTGTTGGTGTTTCTATTGTGGTTGGTGGTTCTAGGTGGTGGTGGTTCTGGTGTGGTTGTGGCATACGTGTGGTGGTGGTGTTCTTGTGCGGTGGTGTTCTGGTGTGGTTATGGTTCTGGTATGTCGTGGTGATGTTGGTGTCTGGTTGGTGGTTGTCTGTGTGGTTGTGGTTCTAGTGTGGTGGTGTGTTCTGGTGTGGTGGTGGTTCTTGGTGTGGCTGTGTGTGGTTTCTGGTGTGGTGGTGGTTCTGGTGTGGTGGTGGTTCGGTTTGGTGTGGTGGTTCTGTGTGTGGTGTGTTTTGTGTGGTGGTGGTTCTTTGGTTTGTGATTGTGGTTTGGTGTGGAAGTGATTCTTGTGTGGTGGTGGTTCTAGTGTGGTGGTGGTTCTAGTGTGGCTGTAGTTCTAGTTGGTGGTGCTTCTGGTGTGGGGGTGGTACTAGTGTGGTGGTGGTTCAGATGTGGTGGTGGTTAGTTTCGCGGTAGTATGTTATAGTGTGGTCGTGGTTCTGTGTGTGTTGGTGGTGCTCTGGTGTGGTCGTTGGGCTTAGTGTGGTGAGTTTAGTGTGGTGGTGTGTTCTGGTGTGGTGGTTAGTTCTAGTTGGTGGTGGTTCTGGTGTGGTATTGGTTCTAGTGTGTGTGGTGTGTGATTCTGGTGTGGTATGGTGGTTTGGTGGTGATGGTGGTTTCTTTGGTTGTGGCTGGTTAGTTCTGTGTAGTGGTGGTTCTGTGTGGTGGTGGTGGTTCTGGTGGTGGTGGTGGTACTAGTGTTGGTGGTGGTTCAGTGTGGTTGTTGGTTCTGTTTGGTGGGTTTGTGATTGGTTCTGGTGTGAAGGTGGTTCTAGTGTGGTGGTGGTTCTGTGTGGTGGTGGTTCTGGTGTGGTGTGGCTAGTGCGTGTGGTTTCGTGGGTGGTGGTGGTTCTGGTGTGGTGGTGGTTCTAGTGTGGTGGTGGTGGTTTCTGATAGTGGTGGGTGGTTCTAGTGTGGTGGTGGTTCTGGTGCGGTTGGTGGTTTGTGGTGTGGTGGTGTGATTCTAGTGTGGTGGTGGTTCTGGTGTGGTGTTGTTCTGGTGTGGTGGTTGGTTCTAGTGCGGTGTGAGTGTTCTGGTGGTGGTGTTGTGTGATTCTGGTGTGGCTGTGGTTCTGGTGTGGTGGTGGTGGTGGTTCAGTGGTTGTGGAGTGGTGATGGTTCGGTGTAGTGTTATGTGGTGGTTTCTGTGTGGTGGTGGTTCTGGTGTGTGGTGATGGGTGGGTTCTGTGTGGTGGTGGTTCTGGTGTGGTGGTTGGTGGTGTTCTTGTGGGTGGTGAGTTGTTCTGGTGGTGGTGGTGGATGGTTATCTGGTGTGGTGGTGTTTGGTTTGGTGATGGTGGGTGATGGTTCTTGTGTAGGTGGTGTGGTTCTGTTTGTGTGGTTGTGGTTCTGGTGTGGTGGTGATTGTTCTGGTGTGGTGGTGACGGTTCTGGTGTGGTGGTGGTTCTGTGTGTTTTGTGGTGGTTCTGGTTGGTGGTGTGTGGTTCTGGTGTGTTGTTTGATGGTATTTTCTGTGTGGTGGTGGTTCTGGTGAGGTGGTGATTGTTCTGGTGTGATGGTGATAGCTCTGTGTGGTGGGTGATGGTTCTGGTTGTGGTGGTGGTTTCTGTTGTGGTGGTGGTGGTTCTGTGTGGTGTTGGTGTGTGTGATGGTGTGGTGTGGTGGTGGATGGTTCTGGTGTGTGTTGGTGGCGGTTCTGGTGTGGTGGTGGTTCTGTGTGGTGGTTATGGTTCTGGTGTTCATTGTGGTGGTTTGTTTGTGGTGGTGGTGGTTCTGTTGTGGTGGTGCGGTTCTGGTGTGTGGTGGTGGTGGTTTGTTTGGTGGTGGTGGTTCTGTTGTGGTGGTGGTGGTGGTTCTGTTGTGGTGGTGGTTGATGTTTTGGTGGTGGTGGTTCTGTT